GGAAATGAAAAAATAAAACGTGAATGATAAAAAATATGATCGGTAGAACTTTAGCGAAAAATTCATCCAGACTGTAAAATGAATACAAATCGTAATGTTTAATTTATGCCTTTCTCGTTATTTCGAGTTACTTTAACCACGTATATCAAAAACGTTGTAAGTAATGGAGGACAAAAAAATATTGTGCCACTTTCTAATCCAATCAGAAGTGGAAAAACACCACACATGTCCAACTAGCTCGTATTTTCCCTCGCTCGAGGAGAGCTGCCAACGGCTACATGTAAATTTTCTCGAGTTCTGATTGGTTGGTTACGTTGTCTTCGTCTTTCTGATTGGCCATGATATATCGCTTTGGTCTTGGTTTCGCGACAACTGAATCTAGTGAAAACTTCTTTACACGATAACCAGTGAGCAAACGAAGATTATCTCAATCCGGATTAATCTCATCAAGAACTAGCAGTTACAAAATAACATAACAAAACTTTACAGACCTCATGTCGAATGTGCCCGGGTGTTCCTCCAAGGAAAGCCACTCTGATAACAATACAAGGGCCTTTCACAGTGATTCGTGTAAGGCAGAAGGACGACGGCACATCTTCTGGGTTATTGCTGGAAAAATAACCGACTTCCACAGTCATGCGCGGAACGCACGAATCTCCATTTTGGAGACACTCAAGTCGCCCAACTGGCCAAGATCGGTGGGAAATTCTAAACGATGCTGCAAACTCCGAAGTCACATTGTCAATACAGCCAACCAAAACGCGAAACCTAAAACAAAGTCCAGAAGTTCGGCGCCAACGAGGTTCGTTGTCTCAGAAGTTGCGACCTTGCTGTTTGCGATAGCAAAACAGCGATATTTTCGCAACTTTTGTAGGATGCTGTTGAAGCGGATCAAGAAAGGCGTAGACAAGAAACTTTGAAAGGAGCGGGATGGGTTTCGACCCAAGAGAAGTACAACTGAACAGATCTTTGTACTTAGAAACATCATAGAGCAGGCAAATGAGTGGAGGGCAGGTCTGTATGCGCACTTTGTTGTAGACTTTGAAAAAGCCTTTGACTCTAAACACAGAGAAAGCCTATGGAATATAATGAGAAGTTATCGGATACCGGACAGGATAGTGAGAGTGATAGCGGGCATATACGTGGTCTTTGAGTGCGCAGTTGTCGATGGGAGTGTGACATCTGACTGGTTTATGATAAAGTCTGGGGTAAAACAGGGGTGCGTGATGTAGGGATTGCATTGGTCATGAGGAAGGCATCAGCAGACAAGAGAAGATGGATAAGGTGGAATTTAACAACACTGCTAGAGGACCTTGATTACGCAGATCACACTGCACTACTGTCATCTAAGTTCAATGACTTGCATGAAAAGACTGGGCGATTAGCGGAGGAAGCAGAAAGACAGTCGAGAGAGAACGAAACAAAGCTGGGAAGTAGCCAATGAGATTGCACAAGACAGAAAGTGTTGGTTAGACAGCATGGAGGCCTTATGCGCCTACGGGCGCGATGAGACTTGATGATGATGAGTTTATGAACGCTGTTGGCGACGAAAAACCCAACTTTGTTTCGAGGTTTGCACTTTGGTAAGCTAAACTTAACAATATAACTAACGGGTTTGCAGTATAGTTCCGAATTTCCTAGCGAACTTGGCCAGGTGCGCGGTCTGAGTACGCTTAAACCCATTAAACTGAACATGCTCTTTTGGAGATAGCCTGGAACAGGACAGTTGTGGAGGTGTTATGTTCAGATAAATTCGTCTTATATGGAATGGACACAAAATCGTTTTGAATTACTCCTGGCGTCAAATTAATTAAACTTTTAGATGTGCAATCTACAAGTGCAGCTATTGCTTTCAGCCTCAAAAACAATAGCCACCTATAAAAGTTTTAATAAATTGGCCCCTGAAAGAACAGATTTTTGGAATAAGAGCGCTGAAGTTTGAAAAGCGCGAATTTCTTTTTCTGAATGACGTTTTCGCCACCGCCGCCGTCGTTGCTGCTAAAAGACTAAGTAAGTAAGTAAGTAACAACTTTATTTAATGAGGGTAGCACATGACAGTAAAAACTGATGAACTACTGGCCCTCAATCGTAATTAAAATATTTAGAACTATAATAAAATAAACACGACGAACTAAAATTTAAAAAATACTACAAGATAAGAAAAAGTGATAAGTATATTAGAATAAAAAGATAAAAAGACATACATTAGACAGATGACAGAAAACTGATGAACTAGTGGCACTCAGTCTTAAATTACGAATATTAAAAACTACTAAGATAAACACGGCGAATTAAAAATACTATAAGATGAGAAAAGTGATATGTACATTAGAATTTAAAAATGCAAAAACATTATACTCATAAGAGCTAGGTTAAAAATATTTTTAAGAGCATTCTGAAACTGGCCAGCGGTGTCCTTCTACACCCATAAGAGCTTGGCTAAAAATATTTTTTAAGAGCATTCTTAAACTGGCCAGCGGTGTCCTTCTTTCACATATCAAGAGGAATCCTATTCCACAGCTCAGCTCCACGAACTTTAAAAGTACGTCTCCCCACTTTCCGTTTCCTTATTATAAAATGGACATACCAAATCAAACCTTCCATAACGGCTAGCTCTGCTATCACTCCTGAGATCTGAGTTTCTAGGTAATAGTTTCGTTATGTAGTCTGGGCAGTCATCTTCGTGTCTTATGCGCCTAAATATTAAACTACAGTTTTAAAGGTTTACTTCAAGCACCCAACGTAACTGTTAACGGAACAGTACCTGGAGATAAATTTGATGAAGGAGTGGTTTTCCAACAAGACAAACGAACTCCAATTTCTGCAAAGAGACGTCAGAGAGCTTAACGCCACTCTGCACTGGATTGCGCTGGAACGATCATTCTCCATAGGCAGATTTAGATTCTTTGGCAGAGGACTAAAAATAAACACGATATACCAATTGGTTACTTTGAGATCAAAAGTAAAAATCATTTCAGAAATATTAACAAAGCCAGACTTACACGTCATGATCCAAAACAAGTCCAATTCTATGGCAATGCATCCATCTTTGCCTAAAATTGCAGTAAGCTTTCGCTGTAATTTCATAGAGTAGTTAACGAAAGTAAGATGAATATGTGCGCTATTCGCTTAGAGTGACGTCAAAAAGGTTGGATATTTGGCAGGCTCTTTTCTCGCGTCATAACGGACGGTGTCGACATCAATGTCCACAAAAACAACCCAAAAAAAAGAGGGGCCAGTAGTTATTTTTAATAGAGGACTGCATTTGCTTAATCTTGCTAGCTCGCGGAGATACACGTAGTAATAGAATAACAATAAGCAATTATTTAAATGACAAATGACCTTAAAGAGTCCTTTATTTTCCTGTAAAGCAACACAGTAGGTCACTTTCACGTTCCAGAAACTCTCACTATACAAACGAGGCTGCATGTAAAACCTTTTTTGAAAACATGAGTTCTATTTACATGAGAATAAATAATCGTTTTCATAGCAATGGCTTTGCACACAGCCTCGCTTTGAAACAGAGGCTTGAGGTAACTCGGAAATGGCCCATTGCGTAAACCCCTTGGAGCGACGGCATTCTTATCCACATATGAACAGAGTATTGCTCAAACACTGAACATATTTAAAAGAATAGAATGTGATTTGATGACTCACCACCCTGTCGTATCAAGAGATAGCACTGGCTTCCAGAACACTGCAAACTGAGACTCGGGTGATTTGGAACTTTTTCTAAAGATGAAACAAAACTGGTCAAGTAAATTATAGACTGCATTACCTGTATTATCAGTGCAGATCATCCCCCTGCTTGTGACAATTATACATCGCTCTTAAGGTCGTTGATAATTCAAGAAAAAAAAGGTAGGTAAAAACTAAAAGAATACCGTAAAGAATGACTGCCAACGAGTATGACTTGGAATTGGAATTTCTTGTCGAATTATTGATCATGTGAGAAACCTACATCAAACGCTCAACACTTTTTCATCGAATATACACCACGTCTCGCAGTTTCACTATCGGAAGCTGTGTTTCCTGTCCTTAGTTGAACAAAGTCAGCAACATCTCTTACTAATCGACCAAAAGTTGGTACGCTTCAAAGACACACAACCTTTTTCTTTGGCATTTTAAAGTGCCAAATATATTATTAACAATGCTTTAAAAACAAACCTACCTTGCATGTTGCAATGATAAAATCTGTGAACAAAATTGGAAATTTACTTAGCTCATATATAAAGAACTTTAAATCACAAGGCAATAGAAACTGATATATCATTAAGGAATGAAATCTGTCACCATTGTCTGCCTCTGAAAAGGCATTTCTGGGCGAGGAAACTGGTTACAACATCTGAACTTTGTTGGATCACAACTCTAAACACCGGACCCCTAATCTGTAAACTCCTAATAACCTTGTTATAGCTTAAGAAAATGACCGACATTTGGCGTCCCCACCAATGGTTTCCCGCCAAATAAAGTCTAAGAAACGAGCGCAGAAATTCCGTACTAAGGACGCGTCGCTACCAAGAACTAGATAGTGCTTATAATTACTGTCACTGTTGTCACGGCTGTCCCTGTTGTACCCGTTGTCCCTCTTGTCGCTGTTGTCAATGTTGTTGCTATTGTCAACCTTGTCACTGTTGTCACTGTTGTCACCGTTGTCACCGTTCTCACTGTTGTCACTATTGTCACCGTTGTTGCTGTTGTCATTGTTGTCACCGTTGTCACCGTTGTCGCTGTGGTCGCTCTTGTCACCGTTGTCACCATTGTCACTATTGTCAACGTTGTCACTGTTGTCAACGTTGTCACCGTTGTCAGTGTTGTCACCTATGTCACTGTTGTCACCGTTCTCACCAGTCAGTGTTGTCACCTATGTCACTGTTGTCACCGTTCTCATTGTTGTCAACGTTGTCACCGTTGTCACTGTTGTCACCCTTGTCACTGTTGTCACCGTTGTCACCGTTGTCACTGTTGTCAACGTTGTCAACGTTGTCACTGTTGTCAACGTTGTTACCGTTGTCACTTTTGTCACCGTTGTCACTGTTGTCACTGTTGTCGCTGTTGTAACGGTTGTCCAAATTGTCACCGTTGTCGCTGTTGTCAATTTTGTCACCGTTGTCACTGTTGTCACTGTTGTTGCCGTCGTCACTGTTGTCCCCGTTGTCACCGTTGTCAAGGTTGTCACCATTGTCGATGTTGTCACAGTTGTGACTGTAAGCACTGTTGTCACCGTTGTCGCTGTTGTCACTCTTGTCACCGTTGTCACTGTTGTGGCTGTTGTCACCGTTGTCGCCTTTGTAACGGTTGTCACGGTTGTCACCATTGTCGCTGTTGCCACAGTTGTCACCGTTGTACCTATTATCGCTGTTGTCACCGTTGACACCGTTTTCACTGTTGTCACTGTTATCGCTGTTGTCGGTGTTGTCACTGTTGTCACCAATGTCACTGTTGTCCTTGTTGTCACTGTTGTAACCGTTGTCACTGTTGTCAACGTTGTCACCGTTGTCACTGCTGCCACCGTTGTCACTGTTGTCACCATTATCACCATTGTCACTGTTGTCAACGTTGTCACTGTTCTCACCGTTTTCGCTGTTGTCCCCGTTGTCACTGTTGTCACCGTTATCAATGTTGTCAACGTTGTCACCGTCATCACTGTTGTCACCGTTGTTACACTGTTGTCAACGTTGTCACCCTTGTCATTGTTGTCAAGTTTGTCACTGTTGTCAACGATGTGACCGTTGTCGCTGTTGTCACTGTTGTCAATGTTGCCGCTGTGGTCGCTCTTGTCACCGTTGTCACTGTTGTAAACGTTGTCACCATTGTCCCTGTTGTCAAGGTTGTCACCGTTCTCACTGTTGTCACCGTTGTCACCATTGTCATTGTTGTCAACGTTATCATTGTTGTCAACGTTGTCAACAATCTCAGTGTTGTCACCGTTGTCACCATTCTCACTGTTGTCACCAATATCACCGTTGTCACTGTTGTCAACGTTGCCACCATTGTCACTGTTGTCAACATTGTCACCGTTGTCCCTATTATCGCTGTTGTCATCGTTGTCGTTGTTGTCGGTGTTGTCACCGTTGTCAGGGTAGTTGCTGTTGTCACTGTTCTCAACGTTGTCACCGCTGTCACTGTTGTCACCGTGNCCAGTCAGTGTTGTCACCTATGTCACTGTTGTCACCGTTCTCATTGTTGTCAACGTTGTCACCGTTGTCACTGTTGTCACCCTTGTCACTGTTGTCACCGTTGTCACCGTTGTCACTGTTGTCAACGTTGTCAACGTTGTCACTGTTGTCAACGTTGTTACCGTTGTCACTTTTGTCACCGTTGTCACTGTTGTCACTGTTGTCGCTGTTGTAACGGTTGTCCAAATTGTCACCGTTGTCGCTGTTGTCAATTTTGTCACCGTTGTCACTGTTGTCACTGTTGTTGCCGTCGTCACTGTTGTCCCCGTTGTCACCGTTGTCAAGGTTGTCACCATTGTCGATGTTGTCACAGTTGTGACTGTAAGCACTGTTGTCACCGTTGTCGCTGTTGTCACTCTTGTCACCGTTGTCACTGTTGTGGCTGTTGTCACCGTTGTCGCCTTTGTAACGGTTGTCACGGTTGTCACCATTGTCGCTGTTGCCACAGTTGTCACCGTTGTACCTATTATCGCTGTTGTCACCGTTGACACCGTTTTCACTGTTGTCACTGTTATCGCTGTTGTCGGTGTTGTCACTGTTGTCACCAATGTCACTGTTGTCCTTGTTGTCACTGTTGTAACCGTTGTCACTGTTGTCAACGTTGTCACCGTTGTCACTGCTGCCACCGTTGTCACTGTTGTCACCATTATCACCATTGTCACTGTTGTCAACGTTGTCACTGTTCTCACCGTTTTCGCTGTTGTCCCCGTTGTCACTGTTGTCACCGTTATCAATGTTGTCAACGTTGTCACCGTCATCACTGTTGTCACCGTTGTTACACTGTTGTCAACGTTGTCACCCTTGTCATTGTTGTCAAGTTTGTCACTGTTGTCAACGATGTGACCGTTGTCGCTGTTGTCACTGTTGTCAATGTTGCCGCTGTGGTCGCTCTTGTCACCGTTGTCACTGTTGTAAACGTTGTCACCATTGTCCCTGTTGTCAAGGTTGTCACCGTTCTCACTGTTGTCACCGTTGTCACCATTGTCATTGTTGTCAACGTTATCATTGTTGTCAACGTTGTCAACAATCTCAGTGTTGTCACCGTTGTCACCATTCTCACTGTTGTCACCAATATCACCGTTGTCACTGTTGTCAACGTTGCCACCATTGTCACTGTTGTCAACATTGTCACCGTTGTCCCTATTATCGCTGTTGTCATCGTTGTCGTTGTTGTCGGTGTTGTCACCGTTGTCAGGGTAGTTGCTGTTGTCACTGTTCTCAACGTTGTCACCGCTGTCACTGTTGTCACCGTTCCGTTGTCACCGTTGTCGACATTGTCACTGTTGTCACTGTTGTCACCGTTTTCGCTGTTGTTCCCGTTGTCACTATTGTCACCTTTGTCACTGTTGTCAAAGTTGTCACTGTTGTCATCGTTGTCACTGTTTTCAACGTTGTCACCGTTCTCACTGCTGTCACCGTTGTCACCGTTGTCACCGTTGTCAACATTGTCACTGTTGTCACTGTTGTCACCGTTTTCGCTGTTGTCCCCGTTGTCACTGCTGTCACCGTTGTCACTGTTGTCAACGTTGTCACAGTTGTCACTGTTGTCACCGTTATCACCCTTCTCACTGTTGTCACCGTTCTCACCGTTGTCAACGTTGTCAACATTGTCACTGTTGTCAGTGTTGTCACTGTGTGGATGTCGTCGCTGTTGTCACTGTTGCCAACGTTGTCACCGTTGTCACTGTTGTCACCGTATTCACTGTTGTCAAAGTTATCACTGTTGTCACCGTTGTCAGTGTTGTCAACGTTGTCACTGTTGTCACCGTTGTCACTTTTCTCACCGTTGTCACTGTTGTCAACGTTATCACCGTTTTCAGTGTTGTCACAGTTGTCACTGTTGTCACCGTTCTCACCGTTGTCAACGTTGTTACCGTTGTCACTGTTGTCACAGTTGTCACTCTTGTCAACGCTGTCACCGTTCTCACTGTTGTCACCGTTGTCACCGTTATCACGGGTGTTACCGTTGTAATCGTTGTCAACGTTGTCACAGTTGTCACTGTTGTCACCGTTGTCACCTTTGTCACCGTTGTCACCGTTGTCACCGTTGTCAACGTTGTCAACATTGTCGCTGTTGTCAGTGTTGTCACTGTGTGGATGTTGTCGCTGTTGTCACTGTTGTCAACGTTGTCACCGTTGTCACCGTTGTCACTGTTATCAATGTTGTCACCATTTTCACTGTTGTAATCGTTGTCACTGTTGTCACCGTTGTCACCGTTGTCAGTGTCGTCAACATTGTCACTGTTGTCACCGTTGTCACTTTTGTCACCGTTGTCACTGTTGTCAACGTTATCACCGTTTTCAGTGTTGTCACAGTTGTCACTGTTGTCACCGTTCTCACCGTTGTCAACGTTGTTACCGTTGTAACTGTTGTCACAGTTGTCACTGTTGTCAACGTTGTCACCGTTCTCACTGTTGTCACCGTTGTCACCCTTGTCACCGTTATCACGGGTGTCACCGTTGTCATCGTTGTCACCGTTGCCACTGTTGTTACTGTGGCCACCGTTTTTACCGTTGTCACTTTTTTCAATGTTGTCACAGTTGTCACTATTGTCAACGTTATCACCGTTTTCAGTGTTGTCACAGTTGTCACTGTTGTCACCGTTCTCACCGTTGTCAACGTTATCACCGTTATCAGTGTTGTCACAGTTGTCACTGTTGTCACCGTTCTCACCGTTGTCAACGTTGTTACCGTTGTCACTGTTGTCACAGTTGTCACTGTTGTCAACGTTGTCACCGTTCTCACTGTTCTCACCGTTGTCACCCTTGTCACCGTTATCACGGGTGTCACCGTTGTCATCGTTGTCACCATTGTCACTGTTGTCATTGTTGTCAAAGTTTTCACTGTTGTCACCATTGTCACCCTTGTCACTGTTGTCACCGTTGTCACCGTTGTCAACGTTGTCACTGTTGTCCCCGTTATCACCGTTGTCACTGCTCTCACTGTTGTCGCTGTTGTCGCTGTTTTTACCGTTGTGGATGTTGTCGCTGTTGTCACTGTTGTTAACGTTGACTGTTGTCACTGTTGTCACCGTTGTCACTGTTGTCAACGTTGTCACCGTTGTCACTGCTGTCACCGTTGTCACCGTTAACATCGTTGTAAACATTGTCACTATTGTCACTGTTGTCACCGTTTTCGCTGTTGTTCCCGTTGTCACTGTTCTCACCGTTGTCACTGTTGTCAACGTTGTCACCGTTGTCACTGTTGTCACCGTTGTCACTGTTGTCAACGTTGTCAACATTGTCACTGTTGTCACTGTTGTCACCGTTTTCGCTGTTGTCCCCGTTGTCACTGTTGTCAACGTTGTCACTGTTGTCACCGTTGTCACCGTTGTCACTGTTGTCACCGTTGTCAACATTGTCAACAATGTCACTGTTGTCAGTGTTGTCACCGTTGTCAACGGTGTCAACATTGTCACTGTTGTCAGTGTTGTCACTGTGTGGATGCTGTCGCTGTTATCACTGTTGCCAACGTTGTCACTGTTGTCACCGTTGTCACTGCTCTCACTGTTGTCGCTGTTGTCGCTGTTTTTAGCGTTGTGGATGTTGTCGCTGTTGTCACTGTTGTTAACGTTGACTGTTGTCACTGTTGTCACCGTTGCCACAGTTGTCACTGTTGTCACCGTTCTCACCGTTGTCAACGTTATCACCGTTATCAGTGTTGTCACAGTTGTCACTGTTGTCACCGTTCTCACCGTTGTCAACGTTGTTACCGTTGTCACTGTTGTCACAGTTGTCACTGTTGTCAACGTTGTCACCGTTCTCACTGTTGTCACCGTTGTCACCCTTGTCACCGTTATCACGGGTGTCACCGTTGTCATCGTTGTCACTGTTGTCATTGTCGTCGAAGTTTTCACTGTTGTCACCATTGTCACCCTTGTCACTGTTGTCACCGTTGTCACCGTTGTCAACGTTGTCAACGTTGTCACTGTTGTCCCCGTTGTCACCGTTGTCACTGCTCTCACTGTTGTCGCTGTTGTCGCTGTTTTTACCGTTGTGGATGTTGTCGCTGCTGTCACTGTTCTTAACGTTGACTGTTGCCACTGTTGTCACCGTTGTCACTGTTGTCAACGTTCCCACCGTTGTCACTACTGTCACCGTTGTCACCGTTAACACCGTTGTCAACATTGTCAGTGTTGTCACTGTTGTCACCGTTTTCGCTGTTGTTCACGTTGTCACTGTTGTCACCGTTGTCACTGTTGTCAACGTTGCCACCGTTGTCACTGTTGTAAACGTTGTCAACATTGTCACTGTTGTCACTGTTGTCACCGTTTTCGCTGTTGTCCCCGTTGTCACTGTTGTCAACGTTGTCACCGTTGTCACTGTTGTCACCCTTGTCACCCTTGTCACTGTTGTCACCGTTGTCAACGTTGTAAACATTGTCACTGTTGTCAGTGTTGTCACCGTTGTCAACGTTGTCAACATTGTCACTGTTGTCAGTGTTGTCACTGTGTGGATGTTGTCGCTGTTGTCACTGTTGCCAACGTTGTCACTGTTGTCACCGTTGTCACTGCTCTCACTGTTGTCGCTGTTGTCGCTGTTTTTACCGTTGTGGATGTTGTCGCTGTTGTCACTGTTGTTAACGTTGACTGTTGTCACTGTTGTCACCGTTGTCACTGTTGTCAAAGTTGTCACCGTTGTCACTGGTTTTACCGTTGTCACCGTTAACAGCGTTCTCAACATTGTCACTGTTGTCGCTGTTGTCACCGTTGTCACTGTTGTCAACGTCGTCACCGTTGTCACTGCTGTCATTGTTGTCACCGTTGACACCGTTGTCAACATTGTCACTGTTGTCACCGTTTTCGCTGTTGCCCCCGTTGTCACTGTTGTCACCCTTGTCACTGTTGTCAACGTTGTCACCGTTGTCACTGTTTTCACCATTGTCACCCTTGTCACTGTTGTCACCGTTGTCAACGTTGTCAACATTGTCACTGTTGTCAGTGTTGTCACCGTTGTCACCCTTGTCACGGTTATCACGGGTGTCACCGTTGTCATCGTTGTCACCGTTGTCACCGTTGTCACTGTTGTTACTGTGGTCACCTTTTTTACCGTTGTCACTGTTGTCACTGTTGTCATTGTTGTCAAAGTTTTCACTGTTGTCACCCTTGTCACCCTTGTCACTGTTGTCACCGTTGTCAACGTTGTCAACGTTGTTACCGTTGTCCCTGTTGTCACAGTTGTCACTCCTGTCAACGTTCTCACCGTTCTCACTGTTGTCCCCGTTGTCACCCTTGTCACCGTTATCACGGGTGTCACCATTGTCATCGTTGTCACCGTTGTCACTTTTGTCATTGTTGTCGAAGTTTTCACTGTTGTCACCATTGTCACACTTGTCACTGTTGTCACCGTTGTCACCGTTGTCAACGTTGTCAACGTTGTCACTAATGTCCCCGTTGTCACTGCTCTCACTGTTGTCGCTGTTGTCGCTGTTTGTACCGTTGTGGATGTTGTCGCTGTTGTCACTGTTTTTAACGTTGACTGTTGTCACTGTTGTCACCGTCGTCACTGTTGTCAACGTTGTCACCGTTGTCACTGCTGTCACCGTTGTTACCGTTAACACCGTTCTCAACATTGTCACTGTTGTCACCGTTTTCGCTGTTGTTCCCGTTGTCACTGTTGTCACCGTTGTCACTGTTGTCAACGTTGTCACCGTTGTCACAGTTGTCACCGTTGTCACTGTTGTCAACGTTGTCAACATTGTCGCTGTTGTCCCCGTTGTCACCGTTGTCACTGTTGTCAACGTTGTCACCGTTGTCACTGTTGTCACCGTTGTCACCCTTGTCACTGTTGTCACCGTTCTCAACGTTGTCAACATTGTCACAGTTGTCAGTGTTGTCACTGTGTGGATGTTCTCGCTGTTGTCACTGTTGCCAACGTCACTGTTGTCACCGTTGTCACTGTTCTCACTGTTGTCGCTGTTGTCGCTGTTTTTACCGTTGTGGATGTTGTCGCTGTTGTCACTGTTGTTAACGTTGACTGTTGTCACTGTTGTCACCGTTGTCACTGTTGTCAACGTTGTCACCGTTGTCACTGCTGTCACCGTTGTCACCGTTAACACCGTTGTCAACATTGTCACTGTTGTCACTGTTGTCACCGTTTTCACTGTTGTTCCCGTTGTCACTGTTGTCCCCGTTGTCACTGTTGTCACTGTTGTCACCGTTGTCACTGTTGTCACCGTTGTCACCCTTGTCACTGTTGTCACCGTTGTCAACGTTGTCAACATTGTCACTGTTGTCAGTGTTGTCACCGTTGTCAACGTTGTCAACATTGTCACTGTTGTCAGTGTTGTCACTGTGTGGATGTTGTCGCTGTTGTCACTGTTGCCAACGTCGTCACTGTTGTCACCGTTGTCACTGCTCTCACTGTTGTCGCTGTTGTCGCTGTTTTTACCGTTGTGGATGTTGTCGCTGTTGTCACTGTTGTTAACGTTAACTGTTGTCACTGTTGTCACCGTTGTCACTGTTGTCAACGTTGTCACCGTTGTCACTCCTTTCACCGTTGTCACCGTTAACAGCGTTCTCAACATTGTCACTGTTGTCGCTGTCGTCACCGTTATCACTGTTGTCAACGTCGTCACCGTTGTCACTGCTGTCATTGTTGTCACCGTTGACACCGTTGTCAACATTGTCACTGTTGTCACTGTTGTCACCGTTTTCGCTGTTGTCCCCGTTGTCACTGTTGTCACGGTTGTCACTGTTGTCAACGTTTTCACCGTTGTCCCTGTTGTCACCGTTGTCCCCCTTGTCACTGTTGTCACCGTTGTCAACATTGTCACTGTTGTCAGTGTTGTCACCGTTGTCACCCTTGTCACCGTTGTTACTGTGGTCACCTTTTTTACCGTTGTCGCTGTTGTCAATGTTGTCACCGTTGTCACTGTTGTCACTGTTGTCATTGTTGTCAAAGTTTTCACTGTTGTCACCCTTGACACCCTTGTCACTGTTGTCACCGTTGTCAACGTTGTCAACGTTGTTACCGTTGTCACTGTTGTCACAGTTGTCACTGTTGTCAACGTTGTCACCGTTCTCACTGTTGTCACCGTTGTCACCCTTGTCACCGTTATCACGGGTGTCACCGTTGTCATCGTTGTCACCGTTGTCACTTTTGTCATTGTTGTCGAAGTTTTCACTGTTGTCACCATTGTCACCCTTGTCACTGTTGTCACCGTTGTCACCGTTGTCAACGTTGTCAACGTTGTCACCGTTGTCCCTATTATCGCTGTTGTCATCGTTGTCGTTGTTGTCGGTGTTGTCACCGTTGTCAGGGTAGTTGCTGTTGTCACTGTTCTCAACGTTGTCACCGCTGTCACTGTTGTCACCGTTTTCGCTGTTGTCATCGTTATTACTGTGGTCACCGTTGTCACCGTTGTCACCGTTGTCAACGTTGTCGCTGTTGTCACTGTTGTCACCGTTTTCGCTCTTGTCCCCGTTGTCACTGTTGTCACCGTTGTCACTGTTGTCAACGTTGTCACCGTTGTCACTGTTGTCACCGTTGTCACTGTTGTCAACGTTGTCAACATTGTCACTGTTGTCACCGTTTTCGCTGTTGTCCCCGTTGTCACCGTTGTCACTGTTGTCTACGTTGTCACCGTTGTCACTGTTGTCACCGTTGTCACCCTTGTCACTGTTGTCACCGTTGTCAATGTTGTCAACATTGTCACTGTTGTCAGTGTTGTCACCGTTGTCAACGTTGTCAACATTGTCACAGTTGTCAGTGTTGGCACTGTTTGGATGTTGTCGCTATTGTCACTGTTGTTAACATTGACTGTTGTCACTGTTGTCACCCTTGTCACTGTTGTCAACGTTGTCACCGTTGTCACTGCTTTCACCGTTGTCACCGTTAAAAGCGTTGTCAGCATTGTCACTGTTGTCACTGTTGTCACCGTTGTCACTGTTGTCAACGTTGTCACCGTTGTCACTGCTGTCATTGTTGTCACCGTTGACACCGTTGTCAACATTGTCACTGTTGTCACTGTTTTCACCGTTTTCGCTGTTGTCCCCGTTGTCACTGTTGTCAGCGTTATCACTGTTGTCAACGTTGTCAACGTTGTCACCGTTGTCACTGTTGTCATTGTTGTCACCCTTGTCACTGTTGTCACCGTTGTCAACGTTGTCAACATTGTCACTGTTGTCAGTATTGTCACCGTTGTCACTCTTGTCACCGTTATCACGGGTGTCACTGTTGTCACCGTTGTCACTGTTGTTACTGTGGTCACCTTTTTTACCGTTGTCGCTGTTGTCAATGTTGTCACCGTTGTCACTGTTGTCACTGTTGTCATTGTTCTCAAAGTTTTCACTGTTGTCACCGTTTTCACCCTTGTCACTGTTGTCACCGTTGTCAACGTTGTCACCGTTGTCACCGTTGTCAGTGTTGTCAACGTTGTCACTGTTGTCACCGTTGTCACTTTTGTCACCGTTGTCACTGTTGTCAACGTTGTCACCGTTTTCAGTGTTGTCACAGTTGTCACTGTTGTCACCGTTCTCACCGTTGTCATCGTTGTCACTGTTGTCACTGTTGTCACAGTTGTCACTGTTGTCAACGTTGTCACCGTTCTCATTGTTGTCACCGTTGTCACCCTTGTCACCGTTATCGCGGGTCCCACCGTTATCACTGTTGTCACCGTTGTCAACGTTTTCACTGTTGTCACTGTGGTCACCGTTTTTACCCTTGTCGCTGTTGTCAATGTTGTCAACGTTGTCACTGTCGTCACCGTTGTCATTGTGTTTAACGTTTTTACCGTTGTCACCGTTGTCACTGTTGTCACTGTGGTCACCGTTTTTACCATTGTCGCTGTTGTCAATGTTGTCACCGTTGTCACTGTTGTCACTGTTGTCATTGTTGTCAAAGTTTTCACTGTTGTCACCGTTGTCACCCCTGTCACTGTTGTCACCGTTGTCAACGTTGTGAACGTTGTCACTGTTGTCACCTTTGTCACTGCTCTCACTGTTGTCGCTGTTGTCGCTGTTTTTACCGTTGTGGATGTTGTCGCAGTTGTCACTGTTGTTAACGTTGACTGTTGTCACTGTTGTCACCGTTGTCACTGTTGTCAACGTTGTCACCGTTGTCACTGCTGTCACCGTTTTCACCGTTGTCAACATTGTCACTGTTGTCACTGTTGTCACCGTTTTCGCTGTTGTCCCCGTTGTCACTGTTGTCCCCATTGTCACTCTTGTCACCCTTGTCAATGTTGTCAAAGTTGTCACCGTTGTCACTGTTGTCACTGTTCTTACCGTTGTCACTGTTGTCGCTGTTGCCAACGTTATCACCGTTGTCACGTTTGTCACAGTTGTCACGTTCTCACTGTTGTCACCGTTGTCATCAATGTAATGTTGTCAACGTTGTCAACGTTGTCACCGTCGTCACCGTTGTGAACGTTGTCACCGTTGTCATCGTTGTCACTATTGTAACGTTGTCACAGTTGTCAGTGTTGTCACCGTTGTCACCGGTGTCACTGTTGTAACATTGTCAGTGTTGTCAATGTTGTTACTGTTGTAACGTTGTCACTGCTGTCAATGTTGTCACTGTTGTCACCGTTGTCACCCTTGTCACTGTTGTCACCGTTGTCACTGTTGTCACCGTTGTCAACGTTGTCACTGTTGTTGCTGTTGTCAATGTTGTCACCGTTGACACTGTTGCCAACGTTGTCACCGTTGTCACTTTTATCACCGTTGTCACCGTTTTCACTGTTGTCAACATTGTCAACGTTGTCACGGTTGTCAATGTTGTCAACGTTGTTATCGTAGTCACTGTTGTCAACGTTGTCACCGTTGTCACTGTTGTCAACGTTGTCACTGTTGTCACTGTTGTCAATGTTGTCAAAGTTTTCACCGTTGTCACTAGTGTCAAGTTTTCACCGTTGTCACCTTTATCGCTGTTGTCACCGTTGTCGCCGTTGTCGCTGTTGACACCGTTGTCACTTTTCTCACCGTTATCACCGTTGTCACTGTTGTAACGTTGTCACAGTTGTCAGTGTTGTCACCAATGTCACCGTTGTGACTGTTGTAACGTTGTCACAGTTCTCAGTGTTGTCAACGTTGTCACTGTTGTCACCGTTGTCACTGTTGTCAACGCTGTCACCACTGTTACCGTTGTCACTTTTGTCACCGTTGTCACTGTTGTTGCTGTTGTTAATGTTGTCACCGTTGTAACTGTTGTCACTGTTGTCACTGTTGCCAACATTTTCACTGTTGTCAACGTTGTCACCGTTCTCACTGTTGTAACGTTGTCACCGTTGTCAGTGTTGTCAACGTTTTCACCGTTGTCACCGTTGTCACGATTGTCAACGTTGTCACCGTTGTCACTGTTGTCAACGTTTTCACCGTTGTCACTGTTGTCACCGTTGTCACTGTTGTAACCTTGTCTCCGTTGTCAGTGTTGTCAACGTTATCACCGTTGTCACTGTTGTTAACGTTGTCACCGTTGTCACTGTTCTCAACGTTGTCACCGTTGTCGCTGTTGTCAACGTTGTCACTGTGCTCAACGTTTTTACTTTTGTCACCAATGTCACCGTTGTCACTGTTGTAACCTTGTCACTGTTGTCACTGTTGTCAACATTGTCACCGTTGTCACTGTTGTCACCGTTTTTACTGTTGTTACCGTTGCCACGGTTGTTGCAGTTGTCAACGTTTTAACCGTTGTCACTGTTGTCACCATTGTCGCTGTTGACACCGTTGTCACCATTGTCGCTGTTGTTACCCTTGTCACTGTTGTCGCTTTTGTCACCGTTGTCACCGTTGTCAACGTTGTTACCGTTGTCACCGTTGTGAACGTTGTCACCGTTGTCACTGTTGTCACCGTTGCCACTGTTGTCACTGGTATCAACGTTGTCACCGTTGTCAGTGTTGTCAACGTTGTCACCGTTGCCACTGTTTTCAACGTTGTCACTGTGTCACTGTTGTTACAGTTGTCACCGTTGTCACTGTTGTCACCGTTGTCGCCGTTATTACTGTTTTCACTGTTCTCACTGTTGTCGCTATTGTCTCGGTTGTCACCAGTCTCGCTGTTGTCACCGTTGTCACCGTTGTCGCTGTTGTCACCGTTGTAGCTGTTGTCACGGTTGTCACCGTTGTCGCTGTTGTCACTGTTGTTGCTGTTGTCACCGGTTTCAGTGTTGTCGCTGTTGTCACTGTTCTCGCCGTTGAGGGTGTTGTCACAGTTGTCGCTGTTATCACCGTTGTTATTGCTGTCGCTGTTGTCACCGTTGTCGCTGTTGGTGCTGTTGTTACTTTTGTCACTGTTGTTGCCGTTGTCACTGTTGTCGCTGTTTTCACGGTTGTCACCGTTGTCGCTGTTGTCACCGTTGTAGCTGTTGTCACGGTTGTCACCGTTGTCGCTGGTGTCACTGTTGTTGCTGTTGTCACCGTTTTCAGTGTTGTCGCTGTTGTCACTGTTCTCGCTGTTGAGGCGTTTGTCACTGTTGTCGCTTTTGTCACCGTTGTTGCTGTTGACACTGTTTTTGCCGTTGTCGCTGTTGTCACCGTTGTCACTGTTGTCGCTGTTGTTACCCTTGTCGTTGTTGTCACTGTAGTCGCTGTTGTTACCCTTGTCGTTGTTGTCACTGTAGTCGCTGTTGTTATCGTTGTTACCGTTGTCACCCTTCCTCACTGTTGTCGCTGTTGTCACCGTTTTTGCTGTTGTCACCGTTGTCGCTTTTGTCACCGTTGTCATCGTTGTCGTTGTTGTTGCTGTCGTTGCTGTTGTCACCGTTGTCACCATTGTCGCTGTTTTTACCGTTTTCGCTGTTGTTACTGTTGTCGCCATTGTCGCTGTTGTCACCGTTGTCGGTGTTGTCACGGTTGTCGCTGTTTTAACCGTTGTCAGCGTTGTCGCTGTTGTCACGTTGACAGCGTTGTCACTGTTGTCACCATTGTCACCGTTTTCGCTGTTGTTACTTTTACCGCTTTCACAGTTGTTGCTGTTGTCACTGTTGTCGCTGTTGTCACCACTGTCACTGTTGGCGCTGTTGTTGCCATTGTCACCGTTGTCGCTGTTGTGATCGTTGTCACCGTTGTCACTGTTGTCACTTTTGTCGCGGTTGTCACCGTTGTCACTGTCTTAGCTGTTGTCACTGTTTTCACTTTTTTCGCTGTTGTCACCGTTGTCACCGTGATCACTGTTGTCACTGTTGTAGTTGTTGTCACTGTTTTCACCTTTTGTCACTGTTGTCGCTGTTGTCATTTTTCTCACTGTGGTCACTGTTGTCGGTGTTGTCACTGCTGTCACCGTTCTCGCTGGTCTTACTGTTGTCATTGTTGTCACTGTTGTTGTCGTTGTCGCTGTTGTCACCATTGTGATTGGTACCCAGATCTGGGTAGTGACACGTCATCAGTATAGAATGTCTGCGCTCGTTCCTGAGACGTCATTTTGCAAGGAAACCAGTGGTGACGTCACGAAATGTCGATTGTTTCATCAGGCTGGCCTTAAGAGCACTCATACTTACAGGGTTATTAGAGTTGGGTGGAAGATAGAACAGCGGAACTCCATTCTTGGTGCTTTCAGGTATGGTGTAATAACTGGAATTGGACGAGAAGGACTGAAGGTGGACAAGCATCTCATCTGCACTCTGCAAACTGAAACATCACCGTTTTTACCATTGTCGCTGTTGTCAATGTTGTCACCGTTGTCACTGTTGTCACTGTTGTCATTGTTGTCAAAGTTTTCACTGTTGTCACCGTTGTCACCCCTGTCACTGTTGTCACCGTTGTCAACGTTGTGAACGTTGTCACTGTTGTCACCTTTGTCACTGCTCTCACTGTTGTCGCTGTTGTCGCTGTTTTTACCGTTGTGGATGTTGTCGCAGTTGTCACTGTTGTTAACGTTGACTGTTGTCACTGTTGTCACCGTTGTCACTGTTGTCAACGTTGTCACCGTTGTCACTGCTGTCACCGTTTTCACCGTTGTCAACATTGTCACTGTTGTCACTGTTGTCACCGTTTTCGCTGTTGTCCCCGTTGTCACTGTTGTCCCCATTGTCACTCTTGTCACCCTTGTCAATGTTGTCAAAGTTGTCACCGTTGTCACTGTTGTCACTGTTCTTACCGTTGTCACTGTTGTCGCTGTTGCCAACGTTATCACCGTTGTCACGTTTGTCACAGTTGTCACGTTCTCACTGTTGTCACCGTTGTCATCAATGTAATGTTGTCAACGTTGTCAACGTTGTCACCGTCGTCACCGTTGTGAACGTTGTCACCGTTGTCATCGTTGTCACTATTGTAACGTTGTCACAGTTGTCAGTGTTGTCACCGTTGTCACCGGTGTCACTGTTGTAACATTGTCAGTGTTGTCAATGTTGTTACTGTTGTAACGTTGTCACTGCTGTCAATGTTGTCACTGTTGTCACCGTTGTCACCCTTGTCACTGTTGTCACCGTTGTCACTGTTGTCACCGTTGTCAA